TCTCTCCGGTTATTCTTTTTTGTGCTTTTATTAATCTTTTTTTTCCTCTCTTGTGGTTCTTTGCTTTCCTCTAGGTTGGCCATGAAAGTGACCCGAATGAACTTGTTCTGCCAGCCCATACACCCAAACGAAGACTATTATTGACCACACAACTGATGCAACTGCTTTTTCAGCCTCCGCCTGCAGCATTTCTCACTGCAGATTCTAGTTCTCGTTACGAGGATATTGCTTATTCTGTTGGTAGGCTAACGCTGGGGAACACATGCAGCATCATCTCTTGCCCAAACAGTGAGAAAACGTACGTTTGCATCTAGCTAATTCATTGTTTGGACAATGCATCTACCGTAGTTGGAAGTTTCGTTGCAGTTTGCTGTCGTTGAACTTTGCTGAAGGATTTAAGACTTAAGTTTGCAGATTTCTGGGTATGTCATGCCTCAAATGTTTTCATTCTTTTTTGTAACATACCAGCCTGTCCAGAATGCCTGAATCGGAGAGGACTGATGACGGCTCCTTTTCAAAGTCTGTTGACGAGTTGGTTGGTAGGATAAAGAACCTGGAGACTGAATTGTCAAGGTATCTTCCACCCATCCATCAATCTCACCTGTAAAGTTTCTCATTTGACAGTGAATCCTTCGCTCTGATCGTCAATCTCTGCCTTAGGTCTCTACTCCACCTATTGACCTGAATTATTTGCTTTTCGCCATCCTCCATTGAACAGATTGGGCAAGAGAGTTTCCATGGTCGACCTGAGGGTGGAATGCCAAGATCTGGAGAGGTTCTCTGTCATCAATCGTTTTGCCAAGTTTCACTGCCGGGGACAGGCCACCAATGGAACCGGGACCTCGTCCTCCGACAGTGGTGCTGGTGCTCAGAAAGTCTTGGTTCAGAGATACGTCACCGCGCTTCCTATGCCTAAGAGCATCCCCGACGGAGTACAGTGTCTCACACTTTGATCCATAACCAGTGGAATGTTCACATTTTGTTGGTCAATGCGCAGTGTCCTTTGCTTCCTGACAAATCCTACACGAGGGCAGCGGCATTGGACCGGATAGAATCACAACAACGAATGTTAGGGCCAGTCTTGTAAAGTTAATCCTAGGCATTTTAGATAAATAGTGTTTCGTGCGTGCCGCCGGCTTGCTTTTCGTCGCCTAACCACCTACCTGATTGGCGAAAAAACTTATATTATATGATAAACTGACCTTAGAACCGTTGCGGTCAGAATCGATGTTAAATACAAGGATCATTCAAAGTCGGTAGCGAAGAACCAACCACTGTGGGGGGGGCGAAACCAGCATCGGACTAACCGGTCGTGTTTTTCCTTTGTGGTCCTGACCAGCAAGTACAATACGATCTTCCCGGACAGTGACCTCCATTGTCTTTGTCCGTTGCGACTTTGCGAGCTCCCGCCAAATAAAAGAACGATGGGGGGCCAATTCGTCTCATTGAATCTGCCAAATGATTATATGCTGCGAAAAGGTTGCAGGTTTTTCCATACCATATGCTTTTTTGTCCGAGACTCCACGTGTGCCGTTTCTTCTTTCCTCAAAATCCACGTCCGGAACAGATCCACGTGTGTCGTTGTCATTACGTTGCAATTTTCACTCGATCCCTGAACAGGAAAGTAGCATACAAAGAGTTTATTAAAAGTATTCGCGCTTTTTGCGTTGTCCACTCCCCGCAGCACATCGCAAAGTTTTGACCTTTTGTGGGGAATCTTTCTTTCTTTGTCCTCGTGTTTTTCTAACATTTTCTGTCTTCCCTCCTCGGTGAAGATTTGCAGAATCGCGGAGGCTAAGACTTGGTCCGAAGGTATCATGCTCCAAAGTTCTTGCGAATTGAAAAATGAAAAATGGCATTTCAAATTTTTTATTCTATATTATAGCCTATTATGGGGGAGAAAGATTGGCATTCGGGGTGATTCGGTTTATGGGGTCCATGCTAGTAAATAATACTCCATTTCTATGCTTATTTCGTTTCATCGATTTGGTTAAGTTTTTTTTCTGCAGGGGAGTGGGCATGGAAATGGTAGCAAGGGACAATGGTGGGTATATCCCATTTCGTTATATGATCTTAGTCTAAATCTGAAATTAAGTAAAACATATAAAGTGAAATGACTACGTCCACTTTCTTCTGTGATAATCAACAACTTCATCCACTTATTCGAAATCACTAGATAAGAAAATACGGTCTTATTTTGTATGAAGTGATCATCGACCTCGTTCACCTCCCTTAATAACTACAAACATTTTTTTCTTTTCATACAAAGCAATCTCGCTTCGTGCATGTGCATGGTGCGCACCTTACCTTCAATATACACACATTTGAAAAGATATCCATATATCAAACATTGGAGGTAATATTATATGATACAAATTAAGATATGAAGTGACCAGGAAGCTATTTTGAGTAAATAATTTTCGAGCGCATGAAATGTCCCACTAGTCTCATGGATGTGCAGCCCAAACCTGAACGCGTTTGCAACTTGGGTTATGGAAGAAGGAGAAGAAGGAACCGACTCAAGACTAAAGTCAAGGTGAAGGGGGCTTTCTAATCCTCCAACCTACCAACAAAGCAAAAGAATTATACCATTTGATCCATGCACCTAAGCAGCTCGCATGGTTCACTGGTTCCAGGATTTTGAGTGCGTGCCTGTTGAAGAATGAGCCCGCGACTCATGGGTAGTGGGGAATTCTAAGTCAGTGCCATCCCTGCTTCACTTATATTCTTTAAAAGCAGTTGTAGATATAGGATCTCATGGACCAGAGTTAACCTCTCATGGATTTATCAGCTCTGCTCTGTTTTTCTTGGCAGGTATGATTAGTTAGTTTTTTTTTTTATTGGTCGAGGTCTGATTAGCTAGTTGGTGAGACAACATAGCTTACAAACATAATGGTGCTGTATGGGATCGAATTTGTGTTGTGTGCCTCACCTGTACCCAATCAAAGATAAGCTAAAAATATGCAATCAAAGATTCAACAAATTGGTGACACATTAGTTGTTGGATGCCCATCTTGGTGAACAAGGGCCTCATGGGCGTTGAAGGCATTGGTGGTGATGATGATGTGGAATTTCGACCTCTTGTAGATTTAATTTTTCTTCTCGAGAGCTCAAAAAATCATGATGGATTGCTAAGTGTATCAGGAAGAAATGATGAGTACATGGGGAAAGTATTTCGGCCTCGGTTTGATTCATCTTGAAGTCGTATCCCTAAAGGATTAGAAGAGAAGCGAAAATCCTAGATGAACCGAAGGAGACCTCGGTGTCTTGGATGGTTTGTAATCAACCGATAATATGATTGCATGATATATTTCTCAATTAATATTTACATCCGTCATTATTGATACCTTGGAAATGCAAAATACTTTTCGTAATTGAGAGATGGCTCGTAACATAATGCGGTATTAAGTTATGGTTTTTCTTAGATTCCATCTATTTTGTCGAAAATGCGACATATTTCTAGATCATGTTTCCCCCGAAGTCATTTTCAGGAAATTGACAATATTTTCCGGCGTTTGGCATATTTTGAAAAAATGATTTTCGATGTTTTAAAAAGGAAATCATTTTCCTTAATTTTAGTTTCGCTAGGAAAACCTTTTCCGTTGAGTAAGAAAACATTTTTCATTCACTCATTTTCCTAAGCGATCCAGACATCAAAAAATTTAAAAAATATTTTTCACGAAACAAATGGAATCTTAAAGTTTCAAGCGAATCTTCTTTGATATTAGAAGAAATTACGATTCTACCTTTTTTTTTTTTCTTTTTCCGAAAACGATTCTACCTTGAGAATGGCTCCTTGATGTCTAAATGAAACGGTAAATAAAAAAGAAAAAAAAAAAGCAGATTTCCTCTTCATTTTTTCGGGGCGGGTGGGCTTAGGTCCCCGCTTCTCTAAAAAAAAAAAACAAAAAAAACAATCCAAACCGCCCGGTTCGTGACCCCCCCGAACCAGAGCTCCGGAGCTCGAACCTAAGCTATCCCACCCCCCACCACCCTTCGTTCGTTGAAAATTTCACACTTCGGGTTCACTTCCTCTCTCTCCCCCTCCGTGCCCTTCAATTTCTGTCGCTCGTCTCGCTCTCTCGCTCTATCTGCGTGCAGTCTTCGATTCAATCACCGCGAATTCGCCGCCTCCGCCGGCCCGCCGCGCCGGTCCGAAGCTCCCTCGCCGCCTTCCCGGATTCTGCGTGAGTTCCCGCATCTCCCAAGCTCTCCCCTAGAAACCCTAATTCCGTCCTCCTGCGCGCCCCCCCCCCCACCGCTCGAGCGTCGAATCCCTTTTGCTCGAGTTTCGAATTCTAGGGCTGGGGCGTTGTTCGTTCTCCCTTTAGCTTAGTCCCTCGGTTTTCTGATCCCGCTGATGTTGCGGGGGAGGGGAGGGGTGTAATTGCGCGGTGGCGTTTCCGATCTTTAGCTGTCGTCCGCGTTTTCGGGATGCGATGCGTCTCGGGGGGGTGGGGGGGGGGTGGGCGGGCTCTGCGGCTTCTTGGGGTTCTCCTTTCCGTGCCGCCGATGAATCGAAGAGGGAAGGCGAGACTTTTTGCTCGCGGAAGTTCGAGTGGGAGTGGTTTGATGATGGTGTGTGGCTGGGATTTCGAGGGGAGGGATGTGGTATCCTTGTGTCTTGAATTGGTGCTGCGAGTGTTAGTTTCCTCGTCGAATGATGGAATGTGGTCGACTGTAGGCTGAGCTCCAAAATCATAGCTCCTTTCTCTTTAGAAAGCACAGCAAGTAGCTCCTACAAGTTAGATTTCTCCTGCTTCATGTGATTGTAGAGGTCCGCACTCTGTGTCTGGACCTTTGGGGGGTTTTTGTTGCTTTCTGAGGCAACGGCCAGGACTCAAGAATTGAACTTTTTGATGCTCTCATAAGCTCGATTGGAACTCCTGCTTTAGTTATATGTGCTTTTATTGGGACAGTTTTAGTTTAATTACTGGTATGAAGTTCTTGATGATACGCATTTCGTGCTTACTGCTCCCTTTTGTTTGGCTAATCACAGGTTCAATTTTTCTCTATTCTTTCGGAGCATCTGGCAAATATAAGCAGTTTACCTTGCGCGTGTACACCTACACATGGTGCTGTGAATCAACAGCTGTCGAGTGGCAATTAGTAAGGAATGAATCTCTCCTTCATTTGGCCTCAAAGAAGTACCACAGGAGAGATCTTGGTGAAGGTAAGCCGGGCAATATGAAATGCTTGCGTCTTCTGCTTGTCACATCTTATCTGAGATAATCGATAGTGCCAACTGCCAAACGGGTGAACTAACAATTGCTCCATCTCTTCTTTCTTTCTTTCTTTTTTGGACTGTCGCTGCATTAGAAGCCTGAATAGGAGACGACTGAATATTGAAGTTCGAAAAGAATGCTGTTTCGGTTGTTTGAAACATCAGAAGTCAAGTCAAGTCAAGTGTTAATTTTGTCTTACCTTCTAGTCTGATACATGAATACTAATTAAATGATGAGAGTGTCTTTTTCCTTCGTTAAAATGAGTGTGCATTTTCTTTGGAACGTTGGTGGTTTGAGTTTTTTGGTTGCTTTGCTGTTATTGATTATAATGCAGAGGTTTAGAATCTATTGGATGACAATACCTTGGAGTTGCCTACCCTATCCTCTAATAGCTATTAGCTAATAGATTAGAAGTTTGGCTGACTTCTTGAGTAATAAAACTTGTAGATGGAAACTCATCTCCTGAACTTTCTAAGAGGTTGATGTAATTTATTGTTCGCTGAGGAAAAGAAATTGCATTCTGGCGATCTAGTTGTGCTTAATGCTACTGCATCAATGGAAACGAATTCATCTTACGCAGTACGGGAAGTTTGCGAGTTACTGTTTTAGCTGTGCTTTTATCGTGAAATCTGCATGATAAGTTTCAAATTTGCGTAGCAATTCATATATCTCGAGGCATAGCTGGGAAGGAAAGTAATGAGTAAATCGTTTCGGGATAACTCTTAAAGAAGTGTGACACAAAGAGCTGCACATATCTGTATTACCTGCTCTTGACTGGACAACATTGGTAGTGTAACAGGAAATTAAAAAGTTAAGGTCATGACGGGTCTTTTCCCTTGGTTCCGTGATAAGTATGCATATGCCACTTTTTAGAAGTCGGCCTCTGTGTTTCTTCAGCTTCAGATTACAAGATTTTGTTCTCAATATTTGGAGGTTTCCAATAGCTATGGCTTAATGGATTGCTTTAGAAGTTCCAACTCTCTTGCAACACCCTTGAAGTAGCTGCAACTGGGATTGAACAGTCCTTACCATGATTGAGAGCACCCCCATGAATTTGAGTTTCTCTATCTGATTTTGGCAGGGACTTATTCTTGCCAAATTTCATTTAGATTTCTGCCTTAGATGTTTTGTTATTAAAATGCGTGAGGGGAGTCCTGGGTGGATTATTCAATTATATGGTAAGAGTGCTGGAAATTTCTTGGTATAGGGGCTTTGGAATATGCCGTGTAACCATTGGGTGTTGAATCCTCGTAGCTTGGATTTTATTTTCCCATGAGTTGAAAATGTGGTTTTTTAATGATTTCAAATGTTGGGATGATTAACTGGACATTTATAGGCCAACTGTCTTTCTCTTCTACTTTCTAGATGGACTCAAGGAAAATATGATTGATCAATCATTTCCAGCTTTTTGCTGCTTTTCTTTTGTGCTGCCTTCATTGCTTCCTTAAGTAATTGAGGGGCTTATTGTCTTTTTTAAAAGAATTGCCCTTTCTTTACAGGTTTTGACTTTTGGCAAATCTTCTTTGGCCTATTATGTTAGCTACAGGAATATTGTGCTTTTCTTTAGTCTAAAAGTTTTCAAGTTGTTTTGTGAATACAAAAAATGCATTTTGCAGGCTCCCTTGAATCTAAATTTTCTGAAATTTGGCAATTATTTTGTAGAAGGCTAGAGAAAAAGTAAAATGTTGTTTCTACTTTTGAACTAGAACAAGAACACCGATTTGAAGTCCGATTTTTCATGTTTTACTTATTGTCAACTGAAATAATCAATAAAAGTTTAGGAAGGTATTTTCGTATATGTCTATGTTAAACCAAAATTAGGATGTAAAACATGAAGAGAAAAGCAGATGTAGATGATAAAATTATATGCAAATATGATTTCAGGAAAGTAAATTAAAATGAGCGTTTTTCAAGTTCCAGAAAGGGAGTAAATGAAAGTACAAAATTTTTTCTCTCTTTGAAATTTCGGTGCAAATGAATATCGGAGAACTTCTCAGGAACCATATTCACCCTTACATTCTTATTTACAAATGGACTTCTCTTAGTTTAATTGCTGTCTTAGATGAGTTGAGGCTTTTCCACATGCTTACTAAAGTCATTTTGGAATTATGAAAGGTGAGCTCCCAAATTGTTAACCAGCGACGTTGGAAGTAGATAACTTGCTATTGGATTTGTTATCTCATGTTGCTCAAAGGTCTGCTATATTATGAACCGTGGAGTTGGCCCTTCTATTATCATGAGTGATGGATTTATTGTGGTAGACTCCTCATAGTGTGTTTGTGAGTATGTCTACGTGGATGGTTGGGTAAGATCTATAGGCAGTGACTCAACTTTGGGGTAAACTCACCTTTATGGTTATTAAACTTTCAATTTTTAAAAAATATCACTATACTATTGAAGTGGTTTTAATGAGATGACTCTGCAAATACCTGTTAAAAAGTGACAGAAAGCAGACACGCGCTTGTGAAAAGCTAGCAAGAACCATTCTCGAAGTTTGATGATCCATTGAAAGTTCTGAAAGTTGACTGACTAAAGTAACTAAAAGTTGAATGACCAAAAGATTAGTATACTTGCGGGTGGCTCTGGGTCTCATGGAAGGAAATCTTCTTCTCTAAGCATGTGTCTCGACCTTCAACTATCATTTTCTGATAAAGTTCTGTCATAATTCGAAATGTTTATGGGAAACTTTTGAGTGTTCATTGACCAGACATTTTTTTATTCTGAATGTTCAGTGGGGGAAACAGTGTTTGAGGTTAAATTTGAGAGACATATAGCCACATCATGGATTTTGTGGTAACAAATAACCACACTTACTTTACCTGGCGTAGGCTCTTTGATTACCGGGGATATTGTGGTTTTTCTTCTTTGTCTCTGTGGTTTGGTTTAGCAGTGAGTAGTTTGTAGTTGGTTGGTTACGTGGTAGTTGATTGGTGGGCAAAATATAACTCTGGATAGGATACTTTTTATCCTATTCAGTACTGGTGTGACACTCAATTTGTATATATGCGTATATAGCCCGGATAAAAGAAATCCCTCCTAGGGTGGGGGATATACCCATATGAGATACCTCCTATCGGGGAGAAGAAAAGGGAAATGAAATTAAAAGAAAATGAAACATCCCAGCCAAAGCTTTGAAGATAAAGAGAGGGGAGGACAAAGAAAGGCGATGACAAGGGCAGTCGTGAACGGTAACCACCGTGGTGCCTCAGGGATGGTGGTTGCCATTCTCTGGCAACCTCTGTCTCTCTCTCCCTCCAACCAGATTAGGGATCTGGATTGCGGACAACAATCACCTCATTGTGGTAGTTACAGGCAACGGTTACCACAGCGTGGTGGTAGCAGTTGCTGCTTTTGCTCTGTCATTACCTCTCTCTGTGCGGCAAATCTTGATTGTGCAAAAGCCCCAACCACGTTGCAGTGGCCGCGCTGCTGCAAGGCGGTCGTGTGTGGTACACTGTGGAGTGGACAGTAACAATACTGAGCCTTTTCTTTTGGATTTTTCAAATCTTTGTTTATATAATCTAGATTTTTCACAGACAGGTCGATCACTCAGTCGAATAGTATATACTTGTATCCATGTAATATTTGGTCAATTGCCGAACAACCATAGGATATACCTGTATCCAATTAACAAACATAGCTTTGGTGTTTAATTTTTTTTTTCTTGCGCTTATAAATGAGTTATTTGGTTTGTGGCGCTATTCCCAGGTGGATTTCCATTGAATTTATAAATGTTTCTGTCTGTCAGCGGCCCCTTTTCTATTAGTTTATTGTTTGCGTGTTTATACCCTATGAACTGAGTCAACCATCCTTGTGCTTCTGAGTTTGGCCATCGATTTACTTGTGCGATGTCTTGCTTTGTGATGCTTTCTCTTCTGCTCTCCTTGCGTGCCATTTTTCTGTTTTATTTAAAAATGTCGACATGCCAAGCGGAAAAGAAATACAAACATCCGACCTTTGGGGCCATGGAGATTGCTGTCAAGATTTTGCTCTTTGGTTTTCTGTTTGATCTTTTGATGCATTAGAGTTGAAAGAATGCGTTAGAGAGTACATTTCCATTTCCAGTAGCTCATTGGGTTTCTTTCTTTCTTGTCTTAATGTGTTTTGTCCACAAACTACTACTTTCTTGGTATATACAAAAGTAACATAGTATTTTGGTTGCAGGATGCTATTTGAGTGGTGAAGCCGCGGTAGTTGGATTAAAGCTCCACTTAGGTTGATGCCAACGAAATGAAACCCTATTTATGTGGAAAATCCAGAGTCCATTTGAATCTGTTTTAGGTGATCCTTTTAAATATTACCTGCTAAAATTTTGTGGTTGGTTCATCTATGCCTGGCAACGGAGTTGGAGACAGGGATCACAATTTTTTTGGCCAAGAAAACTTATCCCAGGGTCAAGGTCGCCTGGAGGTTGTTGACAGGAACTGGCCAGGACTAAGCAACAATTTCTTGGCTGGGAGCCAGAGACAAAGTGGATTTCCTCTTAATCCTGATTTAAAGAATTACACCGTGCAGCAATCAGGTGCAGTTCTTCAAATGTCTCTTGAGTGTTTCCTGTTCTCTTGAATGAAATTCCTTTTGGAACATGATTTGTTTACTGCTTGTGCTTATCCTTGTCCGTTTCATTCCTGTGTAATGACATCATTTTTTAAAAAACTTGTACATATGTTAACTTTTTAAGTTCATTTCTCTTGATTACGTACTGTTGCTGTAAATGCAACTGATAACTGCTCCTGTGTATGGTCCTAGCAGATATTGATGCACGACATGGGACTTCTTTCCAGGTATCACATGGCTTGAGTTTTACACAGCCAAACTTGCAGCCTGAATTTAATGGAAGCCCATTCCAAAACCTGCCATCTTTGAATGGCTATATACAAGGGCATCATTTTTTTCCAGCTGGCCAGAATGAAGCAAACTTGTTGGGCATGGACACAGAATCTGGTCAGCATAATATGGGGTCTAGGGGCTTGCCTGTTCTTGATTCCCAGCAAGGGAGAGACACTGAGCTTCAAAAAAGGAATCCTGTAAAGTCTCTAAATGCTGAAACTCCTGTCAATTTTCAGCTTTTGGGACGTCAAGAACAAATGGGAGTTCATCATCCTGCAGTGTTGCAATCTTTTCATGGCCAACAAACTAGTATTAGTGACATGCAGCTGCTGCAGCAACAACTGATGCTCAAGCAATTACGAGATTCTCAAAGGCAGCAGCTACAGCAGCAAGAAGTTTTGAGAAAGAGTTCCTCGAATAACCTTTTATCCATGGCTAAACCAGCTTTGACAAACCATTCGTCTATGCCCCTCAATGGTATTCCTGTAAACGATGGGTCCAACTATTCATGGCAACCTGGGCTTTCAGCAAATGCCAATTGGGTGCAGCGGGGTGCACCTGCTGCTCTGCAAGGATCCTCGGGCAGTCTTGCCCTTTCTGCCGAACAAGGTCAGGGCTTACGTACGATGGGATTGGTTTCCCAACAGGTTGATCAATCTGTTTACGGGGTTCCTCACTCTGGGTTCAGAGAAAATCCAACTCAAATCTCTCAAATAGAAGTCGATAATTCTGCAATGCAGCAGATATCTTCTCATGTACATTCATTTTCAGGTAGCCTTTATTCTTCATTACAAGATCAGGGTAGTGTCCAGGATGGAACAATGGTTCCTAAACAGTCTGGGGAAGTGGGTCATGGTTTAAGTAGTGGATTTAACTCAAATAACTTGCGTCAAGCGAACTCCCCACAAGGAAATGCGGCAATGGAAGAGTTACATGGGAGGCAAGAGTTTGCTCCTTTGTCTGAAGCAACACAAGGGAAATCTTCATCATCAGTTGTTCCTTCTCAGGACGTTGCTACATTGGATCCCACTGAAGAGAGGATTTTGTTTGGTGCAGATGACAATGTTTGGGGTGCCTTTGGTGCAGGAACCAACACAGTTGCAGCAGGCTTCAACATAGGTGACAGTACAGGGTTTCTCTCTGGATTTCCCTCTGTGCAAAGTGGGAGTTGGAGTGCACTTATGCAATCTGCCTTGGCAGAAACTTCTAGCGATAATCAAATAGATCAGGAAGAGTGGAGTGGTCTCAGTGGTCAGAATGCTCGACCCTCAAATAGGAATTCGACGCCTTTAACGCAAAATGACGGTATGAGACAGCAATCAGCCTGGAGTAATAACAACATGCACACTACCTCTCCGAGTTCAAGACCATTGCAGTTGTCTGATAATATTGCAAAGAGTGGCGGATCCTCGGGTGCTTCTAGATTGTGGCAATCTGATCTGGGGGCCTCCCACGGACGAAGTGAGAATATGCAAACTGATTCGTCAGAAAGAATTGAGAATTTTCAAGCTGATTCTGAGAGAGTTATTCATAATTTTGCAGATGGAAACAGGTTGTTCGAGCGGAGCCATCTGCAAAGGCATTCTTCTGATGGTAGTCAAATCTGTGGAAATGTTTCTAATGCTTCGGATGCTGAAGGAAAGAAAATCATCTCTGGATCTTGGACTGATCCACAGAGCATGTTTCCATCAAATCATGGGGATCGACATAGTAGACCAAACGGCTGGAATGTGATCGACTCCACAATGCCTGGTGAGCATGCTAATACAAAGAGCCATCCTAGGGAATACTCACTAATGTCTTCCCAGGATGACAATCGTAACAGACGCATGCATGAAGAAGTTGGTCATGAAGTTGCTATTTCTAGACCCGACAAAGTTCCTGCCGTGGCATTGGAGCGTGTAAAGTCAGTTGATAAGCAAGATTCTACTTTAGAGAATGCTGGCATATCTATGAGCAACAGAAGAGACACTAGAGAAAGTCTTCAACAGCTTCCTAAAAGTTATGGTTTTGATTTATGGAGACCCGTTGATTCTACAGTGAAAAGCAAAGGAAGCGAGGTTGGGGGAAGTAACCGTAATAATATGGATAGAAGTGTTCAGGTTTCAGACTCTCCGGTAAACAACAGAATGCATGATATGGAGAACTCCGATAAAAAGGATAATTTAGCTGGTGGATTTCGTCTGAATACATCCCATAGGTCCACTGGTACTTTTGGAAATAATGTCTGGACAGATGCTGGTGAGTCTCGAAATTCACGTGAGGACAAGCAAAACCAATTTGGTCAGGGTGCTTATAGTCAAAGGCCTGCTGGCACTCATAAATTTCAGTATCATCCTATGGGTAATCTGGATGTAGACTCGGAATCTGCTTATGGAACAAATCATTTTGCACTTTCAAGGCCTATGGTTCAGCAGGTCTGTGGGGAAACAAGAACTCCTGGTCCTGGGCAAGTTGGACATTCAAACTTCATGGATCGGGCTGATAGGAGTAGTGCAGGAATGGCTAAGGTGATAATTAAGCTACACCTTTCTGATAAGAAGTGTTATGTCAACCTTTTTCAAGCCCTTTCAAATTATAAAAGAAGAAAAAGCATGTATTTGCTATTATTCTCAAACTGGTTCTGTGCATGGTTCAGGTTGACCCAAAAGGTGGAGAGGCAGTTCTAAAAGGAGCTTCGGTCTATACATCTGATAGAGTACCCCCTCTCGAAAGATCTGTTGGTACTCCTTCAAATAACAACGCTCAATCAAGGTAGTGAAAGCTATTTATGATTTGCTAGTCCCATTGATTCAGCATCACCTTAATTTCTCCTGTTCTATTTTTCTTGTTATAATTGTGTCATTGACTTGCTTGAATGGTTTTCAATAGTTTTTGGCTGTCGATCATTTTTTTTTGGGCGATGGCTGTTAATCATTTGGTGTGCCACTTTTTTTGTGATTTAAGTTTCTGTTCCCCACCTCTTTTAAAGATAATTTGTCTTGTGTGAGTGAACTTGCAATGTGAACTTTCTGTAGTCAAAAAATGCTGGAACTTCTTCATAAGGTGGATCTATCGAGGGAGCATGGTGTTGCATCACGTTTCAGCTCTTCTGACAGGAATGAAGCAAATGAATCAGAAACTTCTGATGGATCAATCAGTCACCTTCAGCAAAGCCAATCTCCAGCTTCTCAAGGTTTTGGTCTTCAGCTGGCCCCTCCTTCTCAATGGCTGAAGAATTCTGATCGTGCTTTGGATTCTCAGAGCTCGTCACCAGCTCTCACTGCACAGGGTGCTTTTCCATATCCTCGAGAAATGGGTCTTTCATCACTGGCTTCAACATCCTTGATCCAGTCCGCTTCTTTCAGGGGAACACCTCAAGGAGAGTATAGGAGTAATGTTCCTGGTACATTAGGACAGATCAGCAGCAGAGCTTCTCCATCTAACATTGAGGGAAATTTCGGTCTGCCTATCAATCAGAGATTACCTTTTCCGAGAAGTCATCTCCAAGATCAATGTGTCGGTGCTGGTGGAGGTGCAGGTCATTCCATCTGCACATCTTCTGATGGGTTTCCTTTGCATCCAAAAGGGACGGACATCTCTGGGGATGGAGTTCAACTTAGTCAATCTGATCTTCCTTCAGATCCAAGTATTTCGGCGAGTGCTTCAAAAGCCAACAATGCTTTTGCTGCTGAGGGAGGTCGACCTTATGCTGCAAAACAGGCCCACAGTGGATTGTCTCAGCAGTTCAATCCATTCGAGGCAGTGTCATTGTCTCAATCTTCTGTTAACTTTGGCTTCCCTCAACAGGTTCCATCTTCAAAAGTGTTGCCCAACCTCTGGAATGGCAGCTCAAGTCAACAACAGTTACTAGGCTCTGTACCTGGAAATGATACTCTACGGTTGTTGGAGTCCCATCTTAAATCAAACAGTAAGGTAGAGTCGAGCTACTCTGGCACGTCTTCTGGAAAGTTGGAAGGCCTAGTTCCAGAGGAGCAGGCGGTGAAAGAATGTTCATCTGAGATGCCTGATCCTGTTCAGAGTTCATTGCAGGTGAACGAAGCTTTAACAAAGCATGTTTCTGATGCATCTCTTCCCAAACCTGCTTCATCTCAAGGAGAGATTGAAGCATTTGGCCATTATTTGAAGCCTAATGATTTTGTAAACAGAAAGTACTCCTTATTGCATCAGGTGCAGGCTACGAAAAGCATGGAGGGTGATTTTGATCATGATGAGCGGAGCACAAAAAGATTAAAAGGTCCAGAGAGTTGTCTGGATTCTCAGCCAGTCAGTCTGAGGGGAGAGAAGCATGTTTCCCATGGATATGGTCCTCTGGCAGTAGAAAATTCAGCTGGTCACACCCCAGTTCGCAGTGGGGATACTGCGATGTTAAGCTTTTCAGTAAAGCCGGGGGATAATCAGGGCATTGCTGCGGCTTCCCCTGATATTGCCGCATTTCACAGAAATGAGATGCAGAGTTCCTCTACTAGCAGTAACTTAGCTGCCATTAGAGGTGATCATCCTAATATTAGTCCTCAAATGGCACCATCGTGGTTTGAGCAGTACGGGACCTTGAAAAATGGTCAGGTCTTGCAAACGTATGATGCGAGGAAGATGGCTGCCTTTGGTGCGAGTCCACTTGGTAGTGTCTGCAATAGTATGGCTCCCTCTTCAACAACCAGTGAACATCATTTGCTACCTCCAGAAGCCATGGCCTTGAAAATGCTTATGAAATCGAAAAAACGTAAACACATCATGTGTGGAAGTCAGTCTTGGCATAAAGAAATGGCAGAGGGAGCTAGAAGTATTCAAGATGTTAGGTTCGATGCTGTCTCCTTCCTATCTCATATGTTCTTTTGACATTCAGTATTCTCTCTTTCAGGAAAATTGGGAAACGAAAAACGGAAAGGAAAAAATGTAAATCTGGAGGGGTGTTTTCTCAATTTTGATGCATGCCTAATAGTATGCCTATTGTTGTTTGTTGCGATTTTTCTGTAACCTTTTGAGGTCTGTTTGCAGTGTGGCAGACGCAGAATGGGCCATGGCTGCTAATATGCTGGTTGAGAAGGTGCGAACATAGATAATTAGCCTTGATAACATCTCTGCTTCTATTCTTTTTGTGCATTTCATCAATCTTATGTGTCTTGCTCTGCTTTACTTTCCTCTAGGTTGACAGTGAGGGTGACATGAATGAAGATGGAATGCCAATGCAGAGACCTAAGAGAAGGCTATCCCTGACTACACAACTGATGCAACTGATTCTTCGGCCTCCCCCTGCACTGTTTCTCACTGCAGATGCTGCTTCACAGTACGAGAACGTTGCTTATTTCACGAGTAGATTAACACTGGGGGATACATGCGGCATAATCTCCTGCTCAAGCAGTGTTCCTGTTGTGTCCCCTGAAAGTGAAAATTCGTAAGTTTGCGTTCAAAGTTCTTGGAAATTGCAACTTCAGTTTACTGCTGTTCGATTTTACTAAAGCATTATATGTTTGCTTGTTTCCTGGGTATTTCCTTCCTAATATAGTCAGTTTTCTGCTTTGTAATATACTAGCCTGTTCAAAATTACCAAAGAAGCAGTGCATCCTGGTGATGAGCGTTTGACAAAGGTTGTGGAAGAGTTGGTTGGTAGAACAAGGAACCTGGAGAACGAATTATCAAGGTGCCTTCCTCCCACTGATCATAGATGTTTACCTATAAAAGTTCCATAAGCATAGGACCATTTCTCTGATTGTTGTTTGAATGATCAACTTAAAATAATGAGAATCAAATCTAAATAAACAAGAATGTTCCTGAGGGGCTAATCTATGTTAGAGGGTGCTGTGTGTGGACTGTTTTCAAGAATTTGGAGGTAATGGATTCTTTGGACATTCAGAATCTGCTTTGGATAGATGAAAATGTGTACTGAGTGGTTGAAACAATGAGTACTCCCCTCCCCAAAAGGAAAAAAGAGGTAGTGTTAGGATGGAGTTTTGTGGACGATATTGTCATATCGCCACTTTGAGGGTAATTTGCACTGATGGTCATCAAACTTAGGGTGCATCCAATTCACGGAAATCTACAATTTGAAAAACATCTTCCTAAATGATCGCTTATATCTCTTTCAAAAACAAATAAACGAAATATATTATCATCATCAACAAAAAATATTTAGGTATTTGATAGGTGTTAATTGTCAGCTAAATCTTCTAACTGATACAAACAATCAATTTTCGGAAACTGTCTGCCAAATCATTGATTTTCTGTAAAATAAACTCACCATTGGTGGACTTTACAATCTCGCCATTGAACTTTGATATCAATTACCCAATGCACTGAACTTTTAATTTTTTTTTTGTGATCGATGCACTTTGGGCTGAATCTAGTCAATTTTCTGGCGGGTCATAAACTTGCAACGTTCTTCTAAGTTTAGTGACGATTGGCCCGATTTATCCTACACTGTATATAGTAAAGGACTGTTGTCTGTATTATATCATTGGAATTGTTGTTAGCTGATATTGTCTTCCTAATCTGTGCTCTTATTATCTGCTCTCTCACAGTATTGTTGCGTGTTCCTCTCTTTTTCACAGACTGGACAAGAGATCTTCAATTGTTGACTTGCGAGTGGAATGCCAAGATCTGGAGAAGTTCTCTGTCATAAATCGTTTTGCCAAGTTCCATGGCAGGGGACAGGTTGATGGGACTGGGACATCATCTTCGGATGCTTCTAGTGCTCTGAAAGTCTGCCCTCAGAGATATGTCACTGCACTTCCAATCCCGAGAAACCTCCCTGACAGAGTGCAATGCCTTCCACTTTGATCAACTAGCTGTGGAGTATTCCCATTTTCTTGGTCAATTTGCCATCTCCTTTGCTTTCTTGCAGATTCTATAAGGCAGTGCGTTGACTGGATAGAACCATGAGAATCAATTTTAAGGAAGTCTGCGGTTCGGATTCAAAAAGTTAATAGGAGGCCTTTTAGATAAATTCGTATAGGCCATTGATGTCTTCCCTGAGAAATATAAGCTAATATTGGAATACTGCAGTCAAATCCTAGAAAGGAGCTGGGATACCCGATCATTAATTCTGTAAATGGTGAGGACAAAAGTGCCGTTCAGGTTGAAAATTGCTTACGCATAGTTCAAGTTCCCTGTAATTTTCTCATTTATTGAAATAGTATTCCAATTTCATGAATTGAAGATCCAACTTGAGACAGCAGGTAAGAAGATTCTCTCTGGGGTTGCCAATTGTTCAGTGAACTGAAAAAATCAATATACACGAGTTTCTAGTTATGCCATAGTTCTGACTAATTGTTGTTCATTATTTGAATTCCATCTGTTTCTGAAAAAACATTGTGCTTCTGTCTCCATAGAAGGGGAAGAAGATCGGCAAGGTTTTCCAAGTGTCATCTTTACTGAAAGAAGCGCCAGCAGATTTTCACTTCTTGTAAGTGTTGGATGTTCCAGCTATTTGGCCAGGCTCATTGGCTTGTGAATCAGCTTGAGTTGAAATAAAAAAGAAAAAAAGCACCCAGCGTTCTGTTTCATTCCTTCCTTTTGTCCCTAATCTGTTTTTGTTGTGAATTAGATGACTTTTATCTGGACGCTGGAATCACCTAGGTACTTTATCTTTCATTTATCAGTCTGATTTTTGTTACTGGTTGCTATCAGCTGAGATTATACTGTAGGGGCGAAGCCAATGATCTCGATTAAACGTTTAGCAGTATGAAAAAGTCTGACTCAGGTTTTGAGAGCAGGAGTTTGGGATATTATGGGAGAATAGAGATACATAAACTTGACTTAGCTGGGAGGTTTATCAACAAGAATGAAATTAAGCATTGCAGGACTTGCACAGTTTATCCTGCTTTGAGCAACAAAGCTTGTGGGGTCCAACTAAAACTGAATAGCTTTGTTCTTTTTGTTACATTCAGAACTTTACCATTCTCCATCCTGTGTGCAAAGCACAATTTGTGAGTCTTCATTGTGCTTTTCGATTAATTTGCTTGAGACACCGTCATCATATGAGGGGTATGTCATCTTCTCCCATCGATGCTGTTTGTTTTGTAGTTACACTTCATTTTTACTCTTTCTAACATGTGTGAATCCTTGACATTTTGCAATGACCATGCATTTTCCACCGACTCTATTTATTTGAAATTAATGTGCACACTCTATGGAAGCAAGAAGATGGCTTTGACTAAGGTTCTCTTTTTTCTTTTTTGATCGAAGACTAAGGTTCTCTTTGTTCTCAAAACAAATGGGGCTTTCTGGGACTTCTTTGTCGGTGTTTTGTCCGACACCACTTTGGTAGCATGGTATTAACTGATAATGACACTAGCTGCGTACCCTATTCATCACTGACTGGTCGAACATTGGATCTTTGTTTTCTTTAAGATTGAAGTCAGTGAGTTTTTTCCTTGATCTCAATTGGTTTGGAACGCATTTCTCTGATATGCTACCTGGATGTTATACTCTTTATTGGTGGTACTCAGATAAAATTGGTTGATTGTTGGTGGGTGTTTTTAAGTTTTGGTGGGTGCTATTGGATGCGAGCATCCTTTCGGTTCTGGTGTCCCGGTCTTTAATGAATCAAATCAGTAAGAACGTAAGTTTTTGTTCTGTGCTAGACCTTAGTCTTGGATGTGTGTGCTAGAATTGTATTTCACGTCAACACATGGACTTACTTTTACTTTTACCTTAACTTTTCTATTGAAGAACAGGTTTCTGTCTGTAGTCCGAGCGTCCGTGTGTCACTCTTTTCAGCATAGGGTATATACTTTAGAATGTCTTAAGGTTTGGACAAAATGCGATAATGTTGTACAGGCAGGTCATAAGAAGGCATTGTTGATGTTCGTTACGTGGCCTCGATTCTACAAAGCCCGGCTGATATCACACGCTGGTGATATTGGTGTAGCGGTTTGTCTTTGTATTTGTCCAACCGGTGGGGGGATTTTGTCCAATTGAAGCTGACAATTCACGTTGCCCGGGCACTTTCATTCTTCAATGAACCAATCTGAGCGCAATAAATAGCTTTGCAAAAGAAAAAGAGCACTATACAATTTGCAAACAGATTTCCATGTCGCTTCAATAATGAAATGGGAATCACACAAGCCAGACAAGTCATCATACATTCCAAATAAGTTGATCCTTAAATCCCGAATATGAAGCAACTAATTTAAGTGCGGGTTGTGTCAGTAGTTGCACGATCGTTTCATTAGATGAAGCGATTCGTGATGTATATGCAATGATTTCTGGCTATGGCTTGGTGTTGGAGTAGTTGTTCTCATCACGTTAATGTGTCGGATATAAGTACAACAGTGAATTATGACGGGAAACAATGCTTTTGATTGGTAGGACTTTAAATGATAAAAGTAATTTCCCAACCAAATCAAACCATCCATAATAAATTGAAATTCTTAGTGCTATGTTGGGCTGGGACACGGATCTATTGTGCTGCTTGGGCCATATTATTGGACCTACACAATACACGTGTATGTCCAACTCTATGTCCGCTTATAAAGGAAGTGATGTGATCTAATCATGAATGGGATAATGATGCAAATATTTTCTGAACTTTGCCTTAATATGTAATGCGATCCTTGAATTTTAATTTCAATAATATAACGGGTTGATTGTCGATCTAATCTGTGCATGGCGAAAAGGAGCATTAAAATGGTCTTCGTTCTTGAATATTCGGGCTTCAAAACATGAGTAAAAATTTTAACGGCAAACTAACAACTTTTGAGCATTCTCTGGGATTTTCCAATGGCAAGTGTCGGTCATCGAGACTTACAAAACACATAGTCCGAAAGACAAGACACGGGACACCTTTCTAAAAGTCAGTCAAAATCCCCCACATGTTTTGAGCTAACTACAAGACACTTGTTTTGAGCTTATGCACCACACATATTTCATTTTGGCTCTCACTAGCTCTTTTCTTTGTCGTACAAGGAGCATGCCCAAGGAGGCTATTATGCTCACCGCGCACTGGTATCACCACCTGAGCTTCGCTACCTATTCACCCAACTCTTGTCTAGCTCGAACTTGATTTTTCACGCGACTGTTAAATCAAGTTAAGCTTCATATGGCCCCGAGGAAACCAAAAGACCCTCTCATCTCACGTTTGAAAGCCTCAGAGCTCAATTCACTAGCCTAGCTTGCGAACATCACTTCCTATAGTGGCAGGGAGTTAAATTTAAGGAAAGCGATAGCTAATTGAATGGGTTCTGTTGCACTTAATTCATCTTCAATCTAGATTACATTACATCAATGAAAGGATGCAAGTGTAGTATAAGTTTAATCCGAAAATGGTAATTTTCTTTAATAAAAAGAAAAAAAATACAGGCTTTCGCTATTCTTTTTATTGCCGTAGAAATTGATTGCTGCTAGCCGAGAGGAAGGAGCATCGACTTTGAAGCTTTAGGAAATTTTGTATCCTCTATGGAATGACCAACAAGAATTACTGCAAAACCAAGGCAATCATTGATATGCCACCACCCTACTACTCGAAAGCCGAGCCAGAGAGGTCGACTTTCCCGAAGAAGAAGGGGCGGCACTCCCAACTAACGCAGCTGCTAATACACCATCGGCGCTCCACGAGCGAGTCCGGCGAGCGGTCCGGAGACTCCCTTTCGTATCGATCACTAAATTAAAGAAAGTACAAAAAAATTCACAAGCAAAGCCCAACAGAGTAATTTTGCCCCTTTCGATCCTCGTCCGTTCTCAAAAATAATTTCTCTCTTTCTTTTTTTTTTTTGTGGGTCTGAATTCTCGAATCTAATTTTGGGACCGTGGGATTCTCAAATCTAAATTTTGGGACCGTGGGATTTCATCACTTCGAAGGTAAAGCGGGCCCCTTCAGCATCGGATCGCGCATGTCGGCTTGACCCAGTCGAAACAAGATTTCACCGATCTTATCCCTGTCCGTGGCCTCTCTCTCTCTCTCTCTCTCTCTCTCTCGATCCCTCGGTCGCGTAGCTCGGTGAGTCGTTTTCCTCCTGTTTGCTGATTTGCGCGTCTTTGTTCTTTTGGGGGCGGATTCATTTTCTCATCTACATTCGACGGTAAATCCTACGGTTATAATTGATCCCTCCGTCGAAATTGGCCACTTCTAGCGATCCGTGCTGAAAATCAAGATTTGGGTCCGGTCGGAGATCCCACGTTGCTGCGACTCTCGTCTCCCTTTGAAGTTGGTCTCCGCTTTCCTTCTTCTATATGGCTTCTTGTCGGTCTCCTTGGGTTCGATACCTGTTTGTTCTTGGGTTGCGTTGTTCAGCATGCTGTCCGGCGATGCTTGTGTGGCCTTTCTGGGGCGCATTCTACCCCGCCCGTCGTTTATTTCTCGGTGTAGATTTTTTGGCTTGCGAGCTGTTCCAGATTGAGTTCACGCTGTTGATGGAGATCATGAATTTGCGGGACAAGGGAAGACGAAGGAGCAACAAAGATCCTTCTTATTCCTGTTCCTGCATATGGCTTGTTTTGTGCAAATAACTAGTTGTGGCCACCGCGTCCCTTGCCGCTAGATGTCCTCTCAAATTTGCATTGCCTCAGTGTATATCTTTCCTCAGGGAAAATTACGCATTAGTTTTCATGTCGCCCCCCTCGTCCTGTTTATCCCACCCTCGACCTATGTTGATTGTTATTAATGTCGTGTGTTGGCAGCCTGGTTTATATGTTCATCGTGTCAAGAAGTAGTTGAATTTTATTCTTGGTAAATATGTATAAAAGATTTATGAAATTGGTGACCGAGTATGATCGCGCCTGAGAATGAAGAAATGAACCAGCATCTTCTTTGGCACTTGCAGGGACAGCAATCTGAGTGTCGGAGATGTCGCACAGCAGTAATAGCAATATGAATGATCCAAGGCAGCCCTTGGCAGCCAAACCATTTAAAGCGCCGATGGTTTCTCCCCAAGATCTGCCAGTTGATTATACAGGATTCATTGCTGTTGTCTTTGGTGTTGCCGGGGTCATGTTTCGGGTACTTATTTGATGGAGCCAACAAATCCATGCACAATGATATTTGTCCAAATATTTACGTTTCTATATGGTTTTGCGGGAAATGGACTTTGCAACTCAAACAAGAGTGCTGAAAGGATCAAGATTCTTCAAGTTAAATTAGTAAATTTATCTACTAGGCTTTGAATACTATTAGAATTCTATATAGTTTCGTTTTTCTATTCTAAGTAGATATTATATTTGTTTTTTCAGTGGTTTCCTATTTTTATTATGTTTCTTGTTTAGGGGTTTCCTACTTCAGCTAGGAGTAGAGCTTTAGAGAGTCTATAAACAACGTTATAATTCCTTCTTTTTAATGGAATTGATGATTATTTGAATTTTGCAAGTATGGTTTGGGATTGTGTGATGCAATTCTTCTCATAGGTGTGATGCTTAAGAAACCCTAAGTGCGATGCTTAGGGAGCTTTCGGCGTGAAGCCTAAAGATTTATTTTTGTTGTGGGACTCGTTGTCCTACATCACTTATTAATGGGGGAAACGGTCCCTTTGGTTTTCCTTTCATATGCATTTTGCTCGATAAATGTATGCGTTCAATTACATAATTCTCTTTTCTTTTGTTGGTTGTTATTTTGCAGTACAAGCTTAGCTCATGGCTTGCCATCATATTTTGTGCTCAGTCGCTAGCAAACATGAGGAACATGGAAAATGATCTCAAACAGATCTCCATGGCCATGATGTGAGTGTACATTTGATTTGTGCTTTTGTTGATGTGAACTCCATTTTTTTTGGCTGGACATGTACATATCTACACAAGCCCATTATAGACCCCGAAAGCTGCAGTCAGAAGCTCATATAGTGTTACCAGACAAACTTGCATAAATCTGCTCTTCAGTTCACATATCAATATTTTTGACCAGCTATGGATGTTGCATGTTAGAAGGTGGCTTTTGGCGTTTCTCCTTAATGAACTGAAATGGAAAAATCTTTGGTTGGTTTGATGTGTTTAGTTTGGTTCTATGCATTGTTCTTTCTACATATGTAGTATGGTATAATGGATCTTCACTTGATTAATAGATTGGACAAATCTAAACGAAAATGTTATTAAGTAAGAAAATTGTTTATATAAATAATGGAGTCATGCTGTTGATACCCTTTGCCGTACTTTTCTCAATTAAAGCAATTAGTGTGGGGATGGATTTTCATTTGATCATCAATATCTGAAGTGGGATGTGTTTCTTGGGTATTGTGGGGGTTATAGTTGCTATTTCTAGCATAGTATGACCTGTTGTATTAAGATTGTCTGACCAAGTGATTTAGCAAGATGTCCTTTTTGTTTAGGATACCTGGTGACTTGTTTGATAGGTGGGAAGCATGAGTCACTATCAAAATCTGCTACCAAACAGATGGTGGTAGCTGGTGAGGGGGTTTTTCTCTTCACCACTCTGCCATTCTGCCTCCTATTAGACTTCTTGATCCCAATTTTTAGTTAAATAGAGGGATTGTGGGGGTTTTCGGTGTTGGCATTGCAGTGCATCAATTTGAAGTCATTGGCATCTTGGCGTGAGTTCATTTGGATGTGGTCTTCACTTGTTGAATCCACATTACCATTTCCCTCGCAGAGTCACATTTTACATGGGACGTGTGAAGGTTAGATTTGTTTTGACATGATGAGATTGAAGAGAACACTCTTGTTCCATAGCAACTGATAGTTTTTCTTCAAGCTTTTGTGGTCTCTTTACCATTAGAAACTTAAATGAAGATGGGCAATTCAAGGGGTTAATGTGGTTAGTGTTTTGGCTTCACTCTTTTCACCGGATTAATTAGAATGAATTCTTGATAAAGGAAGAGGGATCTTCTGGGAAGAAAAAGGTGTTGAGCTCTTAACATGATGATTCTTTATTGTAGGTCTAACTGTAGTGCGAAAATTGGAGCTTCTAAATGTAGTGAATGCGCTAGCTATGGGTAATATATGATGCTGAAATGGGACCAGTTTTGAGATGCTGACTTTGAAGCTCTCTTCATCACCTGCTTTAATTTTTTTCCCTTTGCATAGCTCAAGAAATAAGACTGGCTGATTTTTTCTTATTTTTTTTCAAGGGTTTCACATTGTCTTTAATTTTGGCCGAACAAAAAAAGGACGAAAACCATGTATTAAGGTAGTCACACGATAGTCACATCGTGATCGTGTGATTTGGAAGGTGCTTACATGGGATGGTTAAGCCACAGAGCAAGAGCTGCAAATAGATGATTCTTAGAGAAATGCCTAAGATGTTATAAGATTGAGGCATTCGGAACTCGTCCGAGGCCCAAGATGTTATAAGTATTCTGAGGGGCTTCAGTTATTTTGGTTCTTCTATTGTGCCTGGTTCTCTCAGAATGATTCTGCAAAATATCGACATTCTTGTGCAGTATGACCCTGTTATTTTTTGATAGTTATAGCTAACTGGAAATTAGGTGCTTTTGTTCCTCCTGTAGTGGATCATCTCACTCCAATTGATTCATCATATTATGTTGGGTCTTTTGTTCCGTTAATTAGATGGGTGCATTTACATCTCTCTTTCTTATGTCAGGTTTGCCATTATGGGATTGGTGACAAACTATTTTGGCCCTGCTCGTCCAGCACCGCGGAAATGAGAGGTCATCAAATTTGGATTAAGGACAAGTGTAATATGCTTAGAGGGTTGTTCCTTAGCTTGAGAGTTAAGTGAGATTCTTTGAGGCGCAGACATATATATCTTGGCACATTGGATGTTCATTTAGTTTTAAGGCTCCGTGATTAATTCCCAAGGACGTACTAGTGAAATATTAAATGTTGATCACAAAGTACCTTTTAGGTTGAATTCTCTTCCTTTCCTCTGTAAATTGTCTGCTAAATGTTTAACTAGTCTCTTTAACAAAGTTACTGTTTTACTCTACTTCAAATTGGTGTACTCATGATAGCTGATTGAGGCTGTTCCGTGAGCAGAGGGCGTTGTTACCTCCTATCACTGCAAATTGAAAGTTTTCATGCCTTCCTAATTTGGCAGTTCATAGTTAAGTATCAGGTTGTTCATAGTATAAAGCTCTTGGCATTGTCAGAAAGGATAAAGAACAAGCTAATTCGCTATTCAGAATAGGCAAATGTATATTTAAAAGCTCATTGTAACAGTTTTTAATCAGGTGACCCTGGATTAGGAGAGCAAGATATTCTGGTAATTATGTTCTTATTTATCATCGTTGTGCCCTAAGGAATAATCAAGCAATTGAAGCGGAAATTGCTGTAGCTTATTTTTTTCACTGATATCTCGTTTTTGGTTTACTTGGAATGACTAGTGCATAATTAAATTTACCAAGAGGATGACTTACTGTTACCTGGTCATTTTGCTTGTCTTATGTTCCGGCCCTACTGAATTCATGATATCTAGGAATGGAAGCGGACAGGTATAATAGGGTTATCCAACCTTCCCAAAGCCTAATGGGAAGTAAATAGTGGGTTTAGTGTCAATTGCTTAATTCACTTTAGGGTTCACATAATGGGTTTCATAATGTCATAGTTGGGAAAGCCGGTGTCAATTGCTAAATTCACTTTAGGGTTCACATAATGGGTTTTTATAATGTCATAGTTGGGAAAGCCAATATGGCTATTAAAATGCCATTTGTTTCCTTTATATTCCGTAAGTGGTTGAGTAAGTACACATAGTTAGCACCTCTACTAGAATTTGTAATGGTTTTTGGGATTTTTCAAATTGCCCTTATTATGTTAAACCCCTCGGGATTACTTAATTGTAAAAAAATTGAGAATGCTAATAACAAAATTTAGTATTATATAAGATTTTTAAACGATGGCCACCATTTCACCCCTATCTTCTATATCATTATTAGACCTTAGATTTTTATATTTTGGACTGCGTAGAATTCAAATTGGAGCCTTACAAGGCATGAGTTTTGAATAAATAGTTACATCTATAAATATGAGGTTGTTTATTACATATTTAATATAAGAATATTGTTTATTACAAAATACTGTGGCGGTTTGTGGGTGTTTGACTACTTTATCGAGTTGAGTTGAGGATATTATTTAAAACCCATAAGGGGTTGGGGATGGGTTTTGGAATAACAAGAAGTTAACCCGCTTTCATTCATAATGATATTTAGATTGATGCAAAGACGTGATAAACATACCTAATTGTATTTTATTCAAGTTATTAGGTGTTAATATGCAATGGAATTGATATACTAATATACTTAGACGGAATGAGACTATGTTTCTTAGACCCTTATATACTTCACATGTCTACGACGTGGGATACTCTCTCACGTTACAAATAGGAATGGAATTATATGAATGACACACATGGAGTTTATAAATGGGAAATAAGACAAGCAAGAAACTAAGATAAAAAAAACATAAGACTCACTTTACTTTGATTCATGAACTCAAGGCATCAGCATTTTTGTCCACAGATTTGCTTTTATTCGAATACGACAACTTCTTATCTCTTTTCATGACAAGGGACAACCTACATCTAAAGAGCCAGTACTTGTTGATAAGAAAGGCAGACATGAGAACACAAGCCATAGACAAATTATTACCTAGTTGCATGTTATCTTTGTTGCCGCCAGAGCTTCTGTTCTTTTCATTACAGGAAAGTATGCCGATGGCCTGCAAAAGAGGAAGATAAAACTACAAAAGCCAAGCGCCAAAGTCTACAATGGCAAAGTTCAAACATGTCCTTGTTTTACCATGTCCTGCGCAAGGTCATGTCACTCCTCTCCTGAAACTCTCACACTGTATTGCTAATTATGGAGTCAAGGTTGCATTTGTGAACACAAGTTCATTCACGCACAAGGGATGGCTGCAAACCCTGGATTGGACGAGGGTTCGAGTCGGATTAAGTTTGTCGCAATTTCGGATGGGGTTGAAACCGATGAGGATCGAAAAGACTTCACTATTTGGCAGGAGAGCATGCCAAGGAGGATGCCGGATCATTTGCAGGAGTTGATGGAGAAAGTAAAGAAGCAGTCAAGTGGCAATGAAGATGAATAGATCAGCTTCATGATTGCGGACCTGAATGCCGGATGGGCACCGGAAGTTGCCGAAAGGATGGGAATCGAACGAGCCGGGTTTTGGCCAGCCTCAGTTTCGGCCCTGGTCTTGACACTTCATTTTCTGAAGTTGATCAAGGGTGGACTCATAGACAACAATGGTAAGGGACCAGAACTAGAACCCTTCACAATCAGTCTCATGAAGCCTAAATATGTCATGTAGCGCCATCTCTCAATTACATTGACACACAAACTAAGGAGAGATGAATCTACCACATTTATCCCACCGATATCGTATGTGCTTGTAGGAATAGGTATTCTAAAGATAATCTTACTTGGCATCGATAACTCATGCAGGCTTTGCTCTGAAGAATGATCTCATCAAGATATCGAAGGACCTTCCTTCATATAAGAGCAATGACCTCATTTGGAGTTGCCCTGAAGACCCAGTGACACAGAAAGCAATTTTCAAATTCGTATTGTCCATGGTGCATCACAGCAAACGCTTGAACTCATTCCTTTGCAATTCCTTCTATGACCTCGAGGCATCGGCTTTCAGTGTCATTCCTGGAGCTCTCCCAATCGGTCCGATAATAGCAAGTGCCCAATTATTCCATTGCAGAGGAAGCCTGTGGAACGAGGACTCAACCTGCTCGAATTGGTTAGACCAACATCCAGCTCAGTCAGTCATCTATGTCGCCTTCGGAAGCACGTCAGTATTCAGCCCGGAACAATTCTAGGAGCTTGCCCATGGCCTCGAACAGATTGCCCAACCATTCCTGTGGGTCGTACGGCCCGACCTCACCGACGGGCCAGTCACTGAGTTCCACGATGGGTTCCTCCAAAGGGTGAGGAGTTTTGGGAAGGTGGTCCAATGGGCACCACAAGAGGAGGTCCTAGCACACCCTTCAGTGGCATGCTTCTTCACTCACTGTGGTTGGAATTCCACACTGGCAGGCCTGAGCAATGGAGTCCCACTTCTCTGCAGGCCCTATTTTGGAGACCAGTTCCTGAACAGGAGCTTCGTATGTGATGTGTGGAGGGTGGCTCTAGGGGTGGATGGCGATGAAAATGGAGTCACAACAAGGCATGAAGTGGGGACAAAGATGCTAGCAGTTCTTGGCAGCGACGAGGTAAGGGCAAATTGCCTAAGGGTGAAGGAGATGGCCAAGAAGAGTGTTAGTGAAGGAGTTCCTCCCTGAAGAATCTGCAGAGCTTCATTAAACATATGACAGCTTGAGGATTCTTCTTGTTGTTCCTGTTCAGTCCCTAAGATTGTGTTCTAATTTGCTCCTTTACAAATGAATGTACTTGTTGCAAAAAGCAAGCCAATCGAACAATAAAATAAGCAGGAATTAAATCGGATATCAGATATATGTGATTTGATCGATGTACATAACGGGGAGCAGCACAACTCACACTGTATTTAGCTTTCATAATTACTCGCAAACAATCTATCAATCTCAGAAATGAATTCACAAATCTTACTACAAGATTTATTGGCTTCAAAACATCAAGCACAATTGATTGTTGTGACCAAAAATTCCTTTGCACAATATAAACATATATATTTATGGAATTTCTGCTCGGAACAGAACTCATTATGATATATTAATGCAATTTCAGAGGATATTTTCCCCCAAAATGAAAATTTTGAAGTCTGCCTTATTTTCTGGTTCCTAGTTTAAGTACCGGGTTGTTTGTTCCTCGTTCAAAGTTCTCACTTTTGTCAAAATGGATGAAGACAGTAAAATTTGTTATTCAGAATAAAAAAAATGGGTATGTTAAGGCTTATTAGAGCAGTTTCTAATCAGTTGATTCTGGAATAAGAAAGTGGAAGAAATTCTGCCACTATTTGTCCTCTGGAATTTGCCAGCACAAACGTCATGGGTATTCTTCCCTAGAGAAATTTTACACTTTTTTCATCCCACCCCTCGACTTATTTATCCCAACATCAACCAATATAGATTTTTAGTAATGTTGTGTGCTGGCAACCTGGCACATATGCTCATTCGCGTTGAGAAGTTCGTGAACTTTCTTTTGGTAAAATTATATGAAAGCTTTATTAAACTAGTGACCAAGTATAATCTGGCCTGAGAATGATAAAATGAAGTAGCATCTTGGTTGGCACTTGCAGGGAAAGCAGTATGAGTTTCGGGCATGTCTCCCAGCAGTAATAGCAATGCAATCTATCCAAGGCAGCCTCGGAAGACCAAAAATTTAAAGCACCAATGGTTTTTCCACAAGTTTTTCCGGTCAATTGTCCTGGACTCATCACTGTTGTCTTTGGCATTGCCAGTGTCGTGGTTCAGGTTCTTATTAATTGGGCAAAGAAACTCTTCGATCATCCTTTGACATTCATTTTGCTTGATCATGTATGCGTAGACTAACTTATTTTTGTTTTCTTTGTTGGTTTTCTTGCAGTACAAGCTTATCTCATGGCTTGCCATCGTATTTTGTGCCCAGTTGCTAGCTAACATGAGGAACATGGAGAACGTATCTCTAACAGATCTCCATGGCCAAAATGTGAGTGCATAGTTGATATGTGCTTTCAATGATGTGAACTTCTTTTATTTTATTTTTTATGTGCAGGACATGTACATGTTTACACGATTAAATTTTAGACTCCAAAAGCTGCAGCATGGAGCCTCATAGTTTAATATAGATGATAAACTTGCATGAATCTGCTCTCAGTTCACACAAAATGTCTATGACCAACTATGACGATTGTCTGTTAGAAGGTGGCTTTTGGCATTTATCCATTATGGATTGAAATGGAAAAATCTCTGGTTGGTTTGGTCTTAAAGACCTGATTTGGTAAGATGTCCCTTTTGTTTTAGGATCCCAGGGTTCCTTGTTCGGTAGGAGGGGATTAAAATTTGCTAGCAAA